TTTTACCGGAGTACCGGGGGGGTTACCGGAACCCCCCGGGGGTTATTGGGCCTATATGGGCCTTAAGGGAGAAGAGGAGAGGAGGCAAGAGGTGGCCGCGCGCCCCTCCCCTTCCTAGTCCGAATAGGACAAGGGAAGGGGGGCGGCGCCCCCCCTTTCCTTCCTCTCTTCCTCCTATTTTCCCCCTCTCTCTCCTTGTCCAACTAGGAGTCCTACTCCCGGTGGGAGTAGGACTCCCCTTGGCGCGCCACACCCTGGCCGGCCGCCTCCTCCCCTTGCTCCTTTATATACGGAGGCAGGGGGGCACCCTAGGACACACAAGTTGATCCTCGTGATCGTTCCTTAGCCGTGTGCGGTGCCCCCTGCCACCATATTCCACCTCGGTCATATCGTTGTAGTGCTTAGGCGAAGCCCTGCGTCGGTAGAACATCATCATAGTCACCACGCCGTTATGCTGACGGAACTCATCCCCGAAGCTTTGCTGGATCGGAGCCCGGGGAGCGTCATCGAGATGTACGTGTGCTAAGAACTCGGAGGTGCCGGAGTAACGGTGCTTGGATCGGTTCGATCGGGAAGAAGACGTATGACTACTTCCTCTACGTTGTGTCAACACTTCTGTTGCGATCTATAAGGGTACGTAGATCATACTCTCCCCTCTCATTGCTGTGCATCACCATGATCTCGCGTGTGCGTAGGAAATTTTTGAAATTACTACGTTCCCCAACAGTCCTATCCTTGAATAAATATACTAGTTGATGAGTAGTATTTATTTGATAGTCGACAATCATGACATCCATTTTGCAATGGGTGTAATCTCTACCGTATTGTCTACACTATAACAGCACAAGACAAGCCCGCCTTTGATTTAACAAAGCCATCAATTGGCCAGGACTACATCGAGTAACCACTTACACCAAAAATCAAGGAAACAACAAAGGATACATAGTCCTAGAATAGCTTACAACCAAATGGAAATACAAGAAAAAGAAAGGGAAATAAGAAAATCCAACATGTAACACCGAGGCCGAAGTTTCTTGAACAACAACCACCACTAGGGAGGTGAAAATCACGGAAGGAGCGGTCATCCTCGGAAGAAACACATCTTCGTCCACTCCTCAAAGTCCAAAACTAGGTCACTATGCCCTCCGACCACACAACAAGATGCAAGTTTAAGAACATCATTGCATGAAAAGTCCAACAAAAAATACCACAACACCGGTCTCATCGAACTGAACCTGAGACACCAGGCGCTCGCCAACAGTGATCTGACAACAACAGCCGTAGACGGGGACCCTATAACCTCTTGTCGGGCTCGAGGGCATAGATCCACTGGTGTACATGCGGCACATCATGCAAACAAGGATGAAGGACTTGAAATTGCTTGTTCCACCACAAGCTGATGCCGTCACTGAATAATAAACAACCACCGGCCACCCCAATTCCTAACAAAGTGCACTACCTCACACGCAAAACCTAGACCATGGCATTCACGAACGATGCGGCCATGCAACCTGTGCGGCCAAAGTAACAAGATACCACCCATGGTTGCTGCTTGCAACAGAGCTGACACCACACCCTTCTCCGGCATCCACCCAGCATGCGGATCCCAACCTCAACTAGAACGTAAACCCATGTTGACACCACCATTACACTCATCCACAATCATTGTGATGCATGTGGAGTTTAAAGCATGTGTGTAGTGTCCACACCGACCAGACCTAAATGAAACCTAAGGTTACTGCTATTTGTGAGCTACATTGGGATTTCCTTGAAGAGGTGAGGATGATGCTGTACAGTAGTGATAAATATTTTCCTTAGTTAAGAACCAAGGTTATCAATCTAGTAGGAGAACCACGAACAACCTCGTTAACAGTATCTGCACACATAAAAGCAAATACTTACACCCAATGCGATCAAGGGGGTCGTCAATCCCCTTCGGGGTTATTTGCAAGGATCAAATCTCGTAGTGATAGATAAAAAGTCAAAACAAAATAATGGTAAATAAATTGCAGTAAGGTATTTTTAGATTTTATATAAGATAAAGTTAGACGCGGGGGTCATGGTTTTCACTATGGCTTCTCTCTCAAACAAAAAGCATATGGTGGGAAAACAAATTAATGTTGGACAATTGATAGAAAGATGCATATTTATGACGATATTCAAGGCAATAATCTTGTATATAGGCATCACGTTCGAGTCAAGTAGATCGACTCCTGCCTGCATCCACTACTATTACTCCACCCATCGACCGCTATCCAACATGCATCAGGGTATTGAATCATAAAAGGAGAGTAACACCTTGAGCCACATGACATGATGTAGACAAAGTAAATCCAAGAAATGTGAATAAACCCCGTCGTTTTCCCCTTAATGACAACAATACAATACATGTCCTTTCCCCTACTTTGTCATTGGGATGAAGCACCACAAGATTGAACCCATCACAAAGCACCTCTCACATTGCAAGATAAATCAATCTAGTTGGCCAAACCGAACGGATAGTTCAGAGAGAAATACAAAGCTATAACAATCATGCATAAAAGAATTCAGAAAAGACTCAAATATTTCTCATGAATAATCCGTTCATACACCCATAATTCATCAAATCCCAACAAACACACCGCAAAGAAGATTACATCGAGTAGATCTTCAAGAACATAGAGGAGAACATTGTATTGAAGATCAAAGAGAGAGAAGAATCCATCTAGCTACTAGCTATGCACTCGTAGGTATGTGGTAAACTACTCACGCGTCACCGGAAGGTCAACTAGGTTGATGTAGAAGCCATCCGTATCGATCCCCCCTCCAGAAGAGTACCGAAAAGGCCTAGAGATGGGATCGTGGAATAACAGACACTTGTGGCAGTGGAAAAGTGATTCGGGTGGCTCTCTCATGTATAGGGAATATTTGAGAATTTATAGAGGTGGAATTAGGTCAAGATGGGCCACGAGGGCCCCACAAGCCTGGGAGACGCCCCCTCGGGGGGCGTGCCTAGCGAGCTTGTCGCTCCCTCATGGCTCCTCTGGTCTTCTCCCGTGCCTTCTAGGGTCTCTCTGGGTGCAAAAAAATTATCAAAAACTTTCGTAGAGTTTGGACTCCGTTTGGTACTGATTTCCTAAAAAGCCAACAACAAGCAAAAAAACAGCAACCAACACTAGGCACTAGGCTAATAGACTAGTCTAAAAAATAATATATAATTGCATATAAGACATCCAAGATTGATACTATAATAGCGTGGAACAATAAAAAATTATAGATACGTTGGAGACGTATCAGTTACCAACTGCCAGAGGAGCAGATCCGGTGGATTGAGGGAGGCAACGGCAAGTCCATGTAGGACCAAACCCTTGCCCGATACTAGCCCATTGGGATAGGCAACTAGAATCCAGCAGGGCCTCATCGGCGCCAGATCGGGTGAGGGAATGGCGGCTACCATTGCACTGAGCATGAACCAGTCCCCTGCCCTAACCCAACCAATGATGAGCCCTGACTCCGCATAAGCATGACTGTAGGGAGGAATGTCGTCACTGACCAGGCAACACACAGAAAATCAGACAGCGACCGCGGCACAACAGGTTCTCTGAGCAAGCCAAGCAGGTGGCACGTGTATGGCTTCAGTACATTATATCTATTTTGTAGTATATGTTAGTTGAAATCTGTGCGTGCATCTATGAAAAATAAGAAAAATACATTTAATCAACAAAGTAAGTTAATTACTAAGGCAAAGAATGCCAACGTTTATTCAGAAATAGAATTTTCATATATTGATGTGAAACACTTTAATTTAATATTTAACCGAGACTTAAGAAATAAGTACATTGGAGTAACTGATATAGATAGGACACTACCCCTTTTTTTCACATGAAACTATAGGTCAGAATATAGCGCGTATGATTATTGGTATATTTAAAGCTAAATAGTTACAAGAATCTGATCACCCAGCTACCGAGTTGAGCATAAGAGGTCCTCTTGGCTTATGGAGTAGCAAATATATATAGTTCATCATCCTTGAAAATCCTTCTGCATCCTAGAAAGGGATAGTGCCCATTTTGTTCTAGTTTCTTACAGAGAATGCTATTTGTATGGAGATCATTTATAGACAATCATTAGTTCACATAACATCTTTTAAAGCATATATATACATACCTCTTGGATTCTGGTTATGTATTACTTCTTATGAAACATGAGAACACAAATGGAGAATTTAGCTATGTGAGTCACTAATCAACTCAACTATAACACTATCCAAGACCAGCAAGCAATTCAAATCTAATACATCACTTTCTTATTTCTATCCATGCAAACCAAGATAGTTTTATATCTTTTCCTATTCAAGCAAATCTCCCATATATCATTTTAATGTGGTCATCAATACACTTTTCCGTAGTGGTATATATGCCGTCCACAACTAAAACAAATCTGTTAAAAAAACTATATGGTTGGATTGTTAGATAACTCAAAGCTCACAAACAAAAATAGAAACTAACAAAAACGTAAGTGATCCTTGGAATATAGCATGTTCATAAGTAGGTTGGTAAATCTCCTAATCATCTTGAAAAAGTGCAGTAGTTAGATGCGACATAATAATTTCAACAACAATTTTTTTTGTGGGGAAATTTCAACAACAAATTGATAGACTATGAATGAAGCTAGCAAGATCTTAAACAATAGGATCGTGAACACTGCACAAAGGAATTGATGTCTATTCATCATTGTATTCATGATGATGAACATCAATTATTATTTTTGCGGGGAGATGATAAACATCAATTGATAGATACATATAAGTTAACTAGTAGAAGGTACATGCTATGCACCTGGTGCCTTATAATTAAACAGTTGGATTTTCAAAATTGACTATCAGGCTGCAGCTGTTGTAAAGGCTTGTTGCTACGTTTGCTTTTGAGCGTTTTGACATGTAAATACTCGTTGATGGAATATTTAATTCTCCACTGCAGCAGACCGCTAGGGTGCAGGCGAGCAGCGCGTCCGTGACAAGTCTAGAAAGATCCAGATTGGCAGTGTTTTGGCATGCACCCGTACAACGCGAATTGAAGAAACATCAGCCGCTGGATCAATTGAGTTTGGTATTGATAGACAGTGGAGATCCACCCTGTGTAACAAAATCAACAGTTAACGGCTTTGCTTGTACAACTCGGTGGAGGGGTAGTCCACGTTCAAAAATTGATCTTTTTTTTTGTGGTTGTTCAAAAATTGATCTAGTATAGTAGTAGAGATGCACTCCTTTTGGGTATATGAAATGCAAAGTCTAAGAATGATAAAGTTGAAGCAAACAACGGGTGAGCCATGTATATTTTCAATTATAGCCAATAGAGATCCACACAAGATGACTTCTTGAATTTATGATAAACTCAAGCAGGATAAAGCAATATATGCCCAAAATGGGTGCAATTGAAGATGGCAATGACTAATCTATGCATACAACTGAACTAATGAAATCGATTGTAACACAATCCAAGGCCAGCAAGCAATTCAGCGCCCAATTTTTTTTCCTGCATGCATGTTGCAAAAAAACCGGTTTAGTAAACATTTCTAACTGCTTGCTTATATAGTGGCTCAGCAGATATCAATTGGTGTATCAATATTGCCAATATATTAAGCAGTGAACAAATTTTCATTGAAACATACACAAACACATCTCTTGATGAGATGGCAGAATGGAACTTTTTGATGTGCCAAAATGATAGTACATACATAGATGTGCAACAAACATCGTCGGGTTATTATGACCTCTCTAGCTAGAATTCCTACTTGTGCACACACGCATAATTACTTATTACAACTCATTTTGCAATCCGACTTGAAAATTGAGTTCTACAGAGAATTTATCTAATTCATGAACAGGATCAACATATATCATTTAACAACAAGAAGAAAAGGGAGGAAAAGTATAAATATATAGGTGTATGTGCAGATGCTATAAGACGAAGGAACCTAGGGCAGGAGAGTGCCGACCGTGTGTCACGCATTGCCTCTGGAATAACTCCGGCGGGCCTTGCTCCGCCATCGCCGCTCGCACCCTCTTTACTCCGGCGATGTCGACACCGAACAGCCTAACGACGCGGACTTGTTCTCCTTTGACAGTCTCCACCACCGGCAGCGGCGACGCAGATTTGCCGCCGTCTACGGTCGTGTTCTTCTTGCAGTCGATGAAGAACTGCTTCTCCTGCCCGTACGCGGAGCACGAGAACACGATGGAGTCGCCGGCAGCGAGGTCCTTCTCACGGACGAAGCGACTCCAGCCCTTTGTGAGCACGTAGCTCTGACTGCTGTTCCAATACGAGTACCGGAACCTCCACACCTTCCCCTCACCGTCCTCAAAGTTGAGCAGCACGCCGTTGCCGGTGGTGGTCGTCGTCTCCGGGGTGCGCTTCAGGGGAAAGTGCTTCTCGGCGTGTTGCTTCGGTACCACGAGCCGATTGAGCTTGCCGACATCGCTTGGGGTCACGGCCTTCTCGAAGAGGGGCTCCCGTGCCCACGACGGCGTCGGCTGCGCGCGGACCCCCATGCCGCGGCCGCGTCTCAGACCCTGGCGGAGCTCGTCAGCGTAGGTGTGCTTCCGGAGCATGTCGACGATCTCGGCCTTGGAGTGCGCTGCCAGGAAGGCGAGCTCCGCCTCCGCGGCCGCGCACGGGAAGTTGGTGGCGGCATCGCGGCCGCGGTACCTGAGCGCGGCTACGTCGTAGGCGCGCGCCGCCAAGTCCTGGTCCGGGAACGTGCCGAGCCAGACGCGAGCGTGGCGCTCGTAGATCTGGGCGCCCCACCGCCCGTTGGGCTGCGGCACCACGCCCTTGAACCGCGACGACGCCAACTGTGCCGATGTCGACCGCGAGGTCACGGACTCGTCGGCGATGACGACTGGCAGGCTCAGAGCCATCGGCGATCTTCCGGCGGCGCCTGACTCCGTCGTGGCCGTGGACGCGCTGGAAGAGTACTGGGAGGAGTGCTCCACCGTGGAGCTCAGGATTTCCACCCCCATGGCTGCTTGCTTTTCTTTGGTTTCTTGGCGTGTGTTCTTGGAGTTGTGTGTTTATGTGTGTTTATACAGGTTAAGATGAGTGCTGTTCTAGCTAGGGCTGGACGAAGATGAAGGTGGTTGTTGTGGGGTGTGTACACATGTGTTGGTGTATATATAGATATTGCGGGGATGCATCTACATGTGTACACGATGTGTGGAAGTGGAGTAATATTTCCGGCCATATTCAGTTTTTGGTTAATTTGACGTGATGGTGGAGATTTTAATTTTTGCACCCTCCCAAAGCTCCATATTACATGTGGTTTTCTGCTGTGTAGAAAAAGCATGGGAGCTAGATACTATTTTATTTAGCAACTTGGATGTTGATGTATTGGTTAATTTATTGTAAAATGTTCTTGATGCATGTAGTACCATATGGTGGCTATCCATAACCCACATGAATGAGTAAAACTGGCTTAGTGTAAAAAAAAATTCACATTGTCTAGAAGATATGCATGAACAATATACTTATGGTATGTACTGTGTTAAAATTACTCCCTCCATTTTTATTTACTCTACATATTAGAGTTGACTGAAGTCAAACTTCGTAAAGTTTGACCAAGTTTATAGTAAAAAGTACAAATATTTACTATAACAAATCTATATGATACATTCGATAATAGCTCTAATGGTATTGATTTGTTATTGTATATGCTAATATTTTTGTTTATAAATTTTGTCAAAGTTTACAAAGCTGGCTTTGACTAAAACTAATACGCGAACTAAATAAAAACGGAGGGAGTACCACGCATAATTAATAAACTAGCTCTATTCCCAAAATAATGTGTAGTCAAGTTCTTTATCATTGACAACAAAAACCTAAAAAAAACTATATTTGAATTCCTTAGCTGTAATTGTATCATTGATTTCTCACAATAATACTTTTGTGCAACCTAAAAGAAAATGTCTACCAATCCAAAATAATAGTTTGCTAGTCTTTTCTAATTATTTATGTGCATATTCGTATGCATATTTTTGGTTAAAGTCGCTCATTCGAAAATGTGGAAAACCTAAACATCGTTTGTTTTAGTAAACACATATTAGTTTTCTCATATTTCCTTTCTTCTTGTTTGTCATGTACTTTGTACTTTCTTACTATGACCGTTGTTGATCTTCATGGTCTAGAAAGGACATGCTTTATTCACACCGTCATATTCATACTATGTACCATCGACGAATCAAACACTATTGAATTTTCTTAAATCAACCCATTATCAATACCACATGTCATCAATGGGCTAATTTAGTTCTTGTGATATGGTTATTGTTCTAGCGTTCACAATTTTTGAAGTTACTATATAAATAAAAAAAAGTTTACTTGCTTGAGTTTATCGTGCCGCCAAGCAAAGAAAAGCATCAATGCTGAAAAGAACACCTTACAAAGAAAAAGGAAATCCCAGGCCATTAAAAAAGGATCTGCCTCGATCGTGGCAGTATCCGACTACAAACATTATGGCATGTAACCAAAACCTAGAATTAAATCTAGTTTGTAGAATATTTCATTAGTGTGAGTCAGCTTTTCACGTGTACATTTATGTTTGGACAATTAACACTAGTAGAAAAAGGGCCTTTAGTCCCGATTCATAAGGGCCTTTAGTCCCAATTCTGGAACTGGGACTAAAGGGTCGGTACTAAAGCCTCCCCCTTTAGTCCCGGTTCTTACTGGAACCGGGACTAAAGGCCCTCCACGTGGCCGCTGCCTGGAGGTCCCCCTTTAGTCCCGGTTGGTAACACCAACCGGTACTAAAGGAAATTTTATGATTTTTTTTAAATTTTTCATTTTTTTTTAGATTTTTCTTTTAAATTTCAAATTTCTGAATTATTTTAACCTCTAATCTCTAATCACCCCTCATCACTGCTCAATTTAACCTTTAATCTCTAATCACCCCTCATCATTCCAAATCATCTAACTTCCCGAACGGTCACCCATCCTCTCACTACTCCAGCCTATTCTCCCTCGTTTCCAAGTCTGCATTTGTTGTTTTCCTGACAATAGTAAGATGTCAATCCTATTAACCCTCAGGAATTTAGCTTGAGCATGAAGTCACACATTTCACTGTTTGAGTTTGAAACTATTGTTCTAAAATCAATAATTATTTAGTAACACTAATATTTCTTGAATAAGTAGTTTGACCACAGTTTGACCCTAGTTTGACCACAGTTTGACCATAGTTTGACCAGATTTGACCAAAATTAAAAAAACTGAAATAATTATTTAGTAACACTAATATTTCTTGAATAAGTAGTTTGACCATTGTTTGACCACAGTTTGACCATAGTTGACCAAAATTCAAAAAAACTGAAATAATTATTTAATAACACTAATATTCTCGAATAATTATTTAGTAACACTAATACTTCTTGAATAAGTAGTTTGACTAGATTTAACAAAAATTCAAAAAAAAACTGAAATTTGAGCATAACTTTTTTCCTTTTAGAATTTGAGGATTCTAAAAATTTGCAAACAGGCCATAGGCTGTCAAAATCGGAAGCGGATTTTCGTTCTGAACATTTTGATATAGTATAAGTTTTTCCCGACATCGTATGCAAAAGTTATAGCCATTTACATTTTCCCTACACTTTTTGCAAAACATGTCCACATTTAAGTTTTTAAATTTTCCTAACTAGTAGATGTAGTAATATAACTACCTCTCGAAGGATTTTATTTTTTGAAGTTTTTATCATTTTATTTTGATTTTTTTCAAAACAAAAAAGGCGATCCCGGGGGGTAGAGTTTGAAAATGGGACCTTTAGTCTCGGTTTGAGACACAAACCGGGACTAAAGGGCATCACACCCTTTAGTCCCGGTTCGTGTCTCAAACCGGGACTAAAGGTCTAATCTTTAGTCCCGGTTTGAGACACAAACCGGGACTAAAGGGCATCGCACCCTTTAGTTTTGGTTCGTGTCTCAAACCGGGACTAAAGGGCTCAGGTGAACCGGGACTAATGCCTTAGCCGCACGAACCGGGACCAATGCTCACATTAGTCCCGGTTCGTGACTGAACCGGGACTAATGTGAATATTGCCCCGTGACCAAAGCCCTGTTTTCTACTAGTATAAGATAAGAACATAAATTCTATTATCTGGTGTCAGGGCCCCGATTCTAAGTCACACCGATCTAGCATGTAACACATCATATCACTTTACGGCCTCACGCACAGTATTCCCACGGGTGCCACCTTACCTGGCCCGGGACCGTTTGCGTCTTTTGGCTCACGTATATGATAATGTCGCTAGCATCCATATGACAGAGAACCCGGGCCGACATGACTAGTCGTAAACCCAAAGTGGCACTAACTTACAGGGACATGCATACATGACCCAGTCTCGAACGTGTCCGTTATCAACGTGTGAATCCGGGTTGTAGCAACTGGGCTAACAGGACTCCGGGAACCCGGGCTGTAGCAGGCTAGCAGGACTCCGAAAATCACCGCGTAACATTTCCCCGAAGGGACAGACACAGGAACGAAGTGGATCACATGCCGGCCAGTCTAAGTGTTCCGGAGCAGTAGTAACTGGGCTAGCAGGACTCCGGTAAACATGATATAATTAAGGAAATAAATAATAACTTTATTATTGCCTCTAGGGCATATTTCCTTCAGTCTCCCACTTGTACTAGAGTCAATAATCTAGATTACACAGTAATGATTCTAACATCCATGGAGCCTTGGTGCTGATCATGTTTTTCTCGTGGAAGAGGCTTAGTCAGCGGGTCTGCAACATTCAGATCCGTATGTATCTTGCAAATTTCTATGACTCCCACTTGGACTAAATCCCGAATGGAATTGAAGCGTCTTTTGATGTGCTTGGTTCTCTTGTGAAATCAGGATTCCTTTGCCAAGGCAATTGCACCAGTATTGTCACAAAAGATTTTCATTGGACTCGATGCACTAGGTATGACACCTAGATCGGATATGAACTCCTTCATCCAGACTCCTTCGTTTGCTGCTTCCGAAGCAGCTATGTACTCTGCTTCACATGTAGATCCCACCACGACCTTTGTTTAGAACTGCACCAACTGACAGCTCCACCGTTTAATGTAAATACGTATCCGGTTTGCGATTTAGAATCATCCGGATCAGTGTCAAAGCTTGCATCAACGTAACCTTTTACGATGAGCTCTTTGTCACCTCCATATACGAGAAACATATCCTTAGTCCTTTTCAGGTATTTCAGGATGTTCTTGACCGCTGTTCAGTGATTCACTCCTGGATTACTTTCGTACCTCCCTGCTAGACTTATAGCAAGGCACCCATCAGGTCTGGTACACAGCATTGCATACATGATAGAGCCTATGGCTGAAGTATAGGGAACATCTTTCATTTTCTCTCTATCTTCTGCGGTGGTCGGACATTAAGTCTTACTCCTCTTCACACCTTGTAACACAGGCAAGAATCCTTTCTTTGCTTGATCCATTTTGAACTTCTTCAAAACTTTGTCAAGGTATGTGCTTTGTGAAAGTCCAATTAAGCGTCTTGGTCTATCTCTATAGATCTTAATGCCCAATATGTAAGCAGCTTCACCGAGGTCTTTCATTGAAAAACTCTTATTCAAGTATCCCTTTATGCTATCTAGAAATTCTATATCATTTCCGATTAGCAATATGTCATCCACATATAATATCAGAAATGCTACAGAGCTCCCACTCACTTTCTTGTAAATACAGGCTTCTCCAAAAGTCTGTATAAAACCAAATGCTTTGATCACACTATCAAAGCGTTTATTCTAACTCCGAGAGGCTTGCACCAATCCACAAATGGATCGTTGGAGCTTGCACACTTTGTTAGCCCCCTTTGGATCGACAAAACCTTCCGGCTACATCATATACAACTCTTCTTCCAGAAATCCATTCAGGAATGCAGTTTTGACATCCATCTGCCAAATTTCATAATCATAAAATGCGGCAATTGCTAACATGATTTGGACAGACTTAAGCATCGCTACGGGTGAGAAGGTCTCATCGT